TATAACTTAACACATACAAAAATTAGTATTTAAATCAAAGTAGGACTCAAATAAAACACACAATAAAATTGTATTACAATTAGGAAACAAAGACAGCAAATTCTCGGCCAATGTGAACACAAGAATCCAAAACCGAATAGGACTCAAATCATTACACAATTTGGACTCAATGACCTTAATTTTAGGGCTAAAATTTTCGGCCATGTGAACACACAAATACTAGACCGAATAGGTCTCCAAGTGTAACACAAATAGATAACCAAAATTCGAGTTCAACTAGGACTAGGAAACCCTAATTTTTAGCTTCACAATTTCGGCTATACTATGACTCTAAAATTCAAAACTAACTAGGCTTAGAATTCCACATAAATCACACGCATACACATGCAAAAAGTCAGCAAAATTTTGGCTATTAACCTTTTACCACATAGTTAAAATTTGAAAAATTACTTTTGACTCACTTAAAAAGGAAACCTGAAAATTACCACTTTCCAAAAATGGACAACAACTTTTAGAATCTTTCTAAAAACCCTTTTCCAAATCGTATATGGAATTAACAAAAATCACTTTTTACAAAAACAATCCATGGCAAATAAAGTATCAAGAACACCATAATTATAATGAAGTAGGAAACTAAAATTCCTCATTCAACTATGACATTTACTTCGTAATACTCAATTTAACATAAATCATTCTTAAAACTCAAAGACTCAACAACGCCATCTTCATAAGTGACCATTGAAAATCAAATTTTCCAACAACCAAATATGTAAACTTTTAAGAATATATCTCAAAGCCTATAAGATTTCTTGTCATAAATAAGAAAATCTTTTTTTTTTTTGTAAAACTTCACTTAATCCTCGATTTAATTTTCGAAAATCAAGTTTTTGAACACAAGTCAAAGACTTCAACCCTTAAAGTTGGTACAATTCAACTTCAAAGACCTTTTAAACACTTTGATACCAAAAACTGATATCACTAAAATTCATTCCTCATCACATGATAAAGAAAGTTTTGAAACTCAAGTTAAGAATCATGGAAAGTCCAATAATAGGAAGATCCACTAATTTGACTCAATCTCAAAGTATAAAACTCGAGAAAACAAAAGACCAACATTTGTTACTTTTGAAAAATCTTTTGACACTAAGATTTAAACAAAAAACAAAATAATCAACAACATTCGGTCTCTATGAAATTCTCATTATTTGAAAATTCATAAATTCCATTTCACTCATTAGATTCAAATGAAACCAACAAGAAGGAAGGCTTTTTCATTTATACCTTATGTAGAAAGTACAAAATCACTAAGCTTCACCTTTCAAAGAATAGATCCAATATATTTACCACAAGATAAACTCTCAAATCCTCCTTATGTAAAGACATCTCTTTAGAAAGAAAAGGCTATTTCGAGCAAAAAAAGCTCTTCTTTGGCATCAATTCTCTCCTTAAAGATTCAACACATAAGATCCACTAACTTGCTCATAGGAGAAACAGTTTTCTACTTGCAAATCAAGGACAAATTTCAAGATGTAGCGCCCACTTTGACTAGATACAAATGTACCATCATCAAGCTCTCGCATAGACCTCAAAATAACACCACAAGATCAAACAAATGTGTAAGAAGTCTCGCACAACCACACAAAAGACAAGATCAATTTTGAAAACGTAGTTTTCACAAGAATTTGATTTATTTTTTTCAAAACTCATTCTGTAATAAGAAGGAACCTTGAAACAAATAAAGATAGTACTACTCGTTAGTAGCGCAAAGCTTGATTACCACACCAAGTAACGGATTCCGTGGCAACTCAAGATATTCTCAAAACCAAGAACTATGAAGTCCTCAATCAAAAAGAAATCTCTTGAAAATCAAACTGATAATAGAAACTAATATGATAATATCAATTAATACCATCACTAAGATAGTCCAAGCTCTGATACCAAGAAACTGATAGCAATCTCGTAGACGAAGCAAATTTCATTAATGCAACCATCAACAAGAAAGTACGAAGATAATTTTGTCTACCCCGTGAAACTCAAAAGAGTGCGGAAAATTCACAGTAAGACGATCGTTTATCTAAGTGATTCTATCTCTTAACTCAAACCAAGCAAAGAACACATTATCCATGAAAGATTCGAATTAAACAACCCACGCTAAGAATAGCAAGGACACTATTCAATATACTCGATCAGTCATCAATCAAGAGACTCAAGAAAGGTAGGAGCAAACAATGCTCAACTATGAAGGAATACTATTGATTAGTAATCTTCATAACCAACCAAAGATATGCAACACATACACTATCTCAAAATGCTTATGCCCAAGCACAATTCATCCAACAAAAGTAGGACAAACCCCACAATAGAACTCATGAACACACTCATCATGAAATTCGAACACCAAGCCAAAAGAAAGGCTCATCAATCGAACTACTAGAAGTAGTATGAAAATAAGAAGTTTTATTTTAAAACAATTCTATCAAGAAGCATACTTGAAAAAGAACGGTTTCTGCAAGATCAACAAGATCCAAGACAAGATGAAAACCCTCTTGGTTAAATCATACTTGACACGAAAAATGGACACTCCATTTAACAAAAATTCCTCACAGGAAAAACTCTCAAAAGAAACAACAAAAATGACCACTCAAGTGTGCTTAAGAAATTCGGCCAAGCCTCCTATTTATAGGCTTAGAATTTCGGCCAGCACCAATAAAAGAAGATCAATTACGACCCTCTAATCTCATCTCACTAGGAGTAGAAGAGTATTTGATCTCTTTGACTCTATCTAAAATCTAAGAAACCTTATCTAAATGACTTATCCTCAAGTAGGATAATATCTAGAAGGAATCTAAGATTCCTAATCAAAACACTCTAGTTTAATTCATTCCACATGACTTATTTAACTAGATAAAAATTCAAAAATTGACTCCTAGACTTAGACTAACTCTAATCTCGAAAATCAGCTCCAAATTGTTGAAGTAAAATGTCTTGAACGCTCTTCCAAAAGTGGAATATTGGTCTTGCGCCCCTTAAGTTGTAGAAAACTCCAATTTACTCCAAAACTTGTAGAATTCTCTTTATTGACTCCAAAAGATTGGAAAAACACTTGAAACAATTAAGATAGTTTGCAACCTATCCAATTGTGTAGCAATGGACTCAATCTTGAACACTTTGATCAAATAGGCCGTCCATTCAAGAACCTAAATGACTCTTCTCACTAGCTTGATCAATGATCTTCATGGAGCACACAGAGTCAAACTCTCTTGATACTCTTCAGCACTTATTTCCATGAGGTCATCATCTCCTTTGGACCCAAAGTTAATGATATTCTCATCACCTTGATCATAGCTCTCTTGAACCAACTCCCTATCACATAGGTAGTCAAGATGCATCCTTTCTTCCTTGATTGGCTTGCAAAGTAAACTTGGCATTCTAAAACTAGAATGAAAGACTAGCTCATTCCCCTTACTAGGAGAATCACCATGGAAGGCTACATGATTCTCATCAGAATTATGTTTTTTTCTTTGGCTTAGAGTTTGAGAGAATTCGGAGAAATGGAACAAAATGATTTGTGGGTTTCAAATTATGACAGGAGTATCCCTAAGATTTAGGGGGCAATAAATAGCATAACCCTTAAAAAAAGTTGTTAAACATTCTTGAAACACATTTAATCTTATCCACATTTATGATCATGATCAATATGATGATGTAGCAGTTACTTGGATTATGCTGCTAGTATGCATATTTGTTGTCTCTCTCTCTCTTTTCAATAGAGCTTTCGTTTGATGTCATGGTTTGTGCATGTTCATGATACTATATACAGTTCCGTTTAATAATTGGGGAATAAATCATAGCCCAAGCTCGGGAAGGTCAAGCATTCAAATTCTAGTATAGCGGTAATTGCTGAGGACAATTTTCATGATGGATGATGAAAAACAGAGAAGCATTTGATGAAAAAACAGAAAAAGCATTTGCTAAACATTGTTAGTTATTGATGCTTAAATCAAAATAAAAGTTTGGACCCGGCGGCTAAAATATTATTTCTCTGACCCAGAATTATTGTGCAATTTGAAATTTCACTTTTAGCACAATTGAAACTAAAAATAAAAATTTAAATTGAACATTAATTTTTGGACGGAGGAAATATAAAGCATTATTACAAAAATGAAAGAAAATGTTTGCACATTAAATAATGATGATGCTTTCTGGGTTCTATGTAATATCATTTTGAAGTCGACAATCAGCTAATCTCTGTAACTTCAATAAACATGTTCTCCAATTTTGGATTTTAGTGGGTGAGATAAGCTTTATTTCTATCTGAATAATACAAAATATCATCAGCAGATTGGATTTATGCAAAGACAAATCCTGACGAATCTTTCTTTTAAATTAACAATAATCCTTAACCATAACCAAAGTAGTTATGATGGAGTGATAAGGACTCCTCCACCTTTCATTATAGATCGAGAGTTCAATTCTCATCATGAACATGAAGGAACCATAAATCCTTTGGTTAGCTCTCCCATCCATCGAGGTGCCTACCATGAGTGAGAGAGATTAATCATTGTTATCGACGGTGGACGCCCTACAATATAAAAAAAAAGAAAAAACAATAATCCTTCTCCCTTCATACTATTGCCAATTATATTATTTCTAGTACAATTCGCAAACTTTAGTACTGAGGGAGTAGAATATTTTGCTGCTCTTCCCAGCTCAAGGTTTGCTTCACAATTTTTCCGCAGAGATCATAACCACTGTTCACTCGTTGTCTTACTTTTGAATTGGAATTTCATATGTTTATATACAATGAATTTTTACAGTATGCAGAAAAGTTGGCTTTCATAAATTATTTAGTAATAATTATAATCCTTTGGTGGTATTTCCAGTGACGCCTATATTTAGGATTAGATAGCTAGCACGGAATTGTAATTGCTTTGCCCAAGGAAACCACGAAATAGGTCTCAAAATCATCCAAATCTAAACGTAAATAAAAATCCAGAGCCATGTTGCTACCAATTCTAATTATTTCTTTATCTCTTTTTCAGCCTTCTGTATCAGCTGATTATCATTCTAGTTCTATTCCTGAAAATTTCATCCGCTGCCTTTCACATGAATTCAGATCAAACGCTTCCATCCTAAATCCCCTGTTGCATTTTCCAGGCATTAATTCATCATACGAATCAATTTGGTCATCTGGGATTGAAAATCTCAGGTTCCTGGAAATTTCTAGCAGTAACAGAAAGAAGAAGAAGCCCCTGGCCATAATCACACCTGAAAGCTATTCCCAAGTGCAAACCACTGTCAAATGTTGCAGGAACAGTGGACTTCGGATCATTATCCGAAGCGGCGGGCACGATTTCGAAGGATCGTCACACGCTTCTTCGTCGTCCATGTTTTCGCCTCCGTCTGTAATGGTGGATCTGAGGAAGCATCTCAGGTCCATTAAAGTTGACCTGGAAGACAACAGCGCGTGGGTGGAATCCGGTGCGAGTCTCGGGGAATTGTATTACGCCATTGCCCTGAAAAGCCCTGTTCATGGCTTTCCAGGGGGGCTTTTTGCTACGGTCGGCATTGGGGGACATTTCAGCGGTGGCGGAGTTGGAAATCTCATCAGAAAATACGGCCTTGCTGCTGATAACGTCCTCGATGCGATGATCGTGGATGCCAATGGCCGGATTCTGGATAAGAATTCAATGGGGATGATCATTTCTGGGCTATCAGAGGGGGCGGAGGAGCAAGTTTTGGAGTCATCCTGGCATGGAAAATCAGTCTCGTGAAAGTTTCACCAATTGTCACTGTTTTTGAAGTTTCCAGGAGCTTGGAACACGGAGCCATTGATTTAATCCACAAATGGCAAGAAGTTGCACACAAAGCCCACGAAGATTTGCTCCTCAGTGTAGTACTATCATCAGCAGGAGGGTCAACTGTTGCTCAAACAACAGCAACATTTAGGTCACTTTTCCTTGGAAGATCTGATGATCTTGTCAAGATGATGGAAGAAATCTTCCCCGAAATCGGGTTGAGGAAACAAGATTGTGAGGAGATGAGTTGGATTGAATCAGTTATGCGCTTTTCATTGTATCCAAAAGGGGTAACCTCAGATGCCTTGAAGAATAGAGTTGCCCCTTTTCCTCCTCCTTATTTCAAGGGCAAGGTAGATTTGGTATACAAACCTATACCTTACGAAACATTGGATGAATTGTGGAAAAGATGTTCATCAAAAGATTATGATCGTATTAATAATACAACTACCACCACTCCCCCTATCATACAAATTGATTTCTATCCTTATGGAGGAAAGATGAATGAGATTTCGAAATCGGAAACTCCATTTCCGCACAGGAAAGGTGTTCTGTATGAGATATTGTACATCGTGGCGTGGTTGGATCAAGATGAAAATAATGCTAATGCTGAATCCTACATGAATTGGCTGAGAGGATTGTATGATTTCATGACTCCGTTTGTGTCAAAAGGGCCAAGAGGTGCTATTGTGAATGCTAGGGATTTCGATTTAGGCACTAATGATGGTGATGGACATATTGCTTGTGGTAGCTGGACTACTACTTCTCCTTACTCAAAAGCTTATAGGACATGGGGATCTAGGTATTTTGGAGATAATTTCAGGAGGCTGGCAACAGTTAAACGTGAAGTTGATCCTGAAAATTTCTTCTTTTCAGAGCAAAGTATCCCGCCTCTTTTTCTTCATCCACAAATGAGAGAAATGGAGCTTTGAATTTTATCAGGGAATATGTTTGGAGTTTTGTTTTTTGTTTTTTTCCTTTCTTTCTTTTTTTTTTTTTTGGTCCATTGTTTGTATATTTTTCTTCTTCCCTTTATGCTAGACTAAAATCTAAAAATGATCCTTTACAATAGATCAAATGAATATTTTGGTCTTCTATATTAACATTTCAATAAAATGGTCCTCTATATTTCAAAACGTTATTTTTTTTCTTTAACACTATTCATGCAATTTTTACCAGATTTAGGACCAAGTCAACGGAGTAATTTTTGAAATAAATTTTCTTTTGTATTTTAAAAAAATTATATTGAATAAAATATGTATATAAATTTGAAAATAATTATAACAAGAACAACAACAAAAAGCCTTTTTCCCACTAAGTGGGCTCGGCTATATGGATTATATGTCGCTATCGTGCACGGTCGGTGTATAACTCATCGGACAAATTTAAATATTTCAAATCGTTTTTAATAGGTTCTCTCCATGTTTTCTTAGGTCTACCCCTACCCGTTTTAATTTGAATTCTTGATTCTATAGTTTCTACCCTCCTAACCGGAGCCCCTACCGGTATCCTACGCACATGCCCAAACCATCTTAAACGCTTTTCTCTCATTTTTTCGTCTATTGGAGCTACCCTAATTTCTTTCTAATGCTATCATTTCTAGTCCCATCTAATCTAGTATGCCTACACATCTATCTTAACATTCACATCTCCACTACCCTCATTTTCTGCTCATTTTCATATTTAGTGGCTCATCTATAAAGCATCGCCGGTCGAATGGCCGTTTTATAGAACTTACCTTTCAAACTCAATGGTACTTTACGATCACAAAGTATTGATGAGGCACTACGCCATTTATTCCACCCGGTTTGGATTCTATGTGTTACTTCTTTATCAATATTTCCATTTTCTTCTATAATGGATCCTAAATATTTAAAACTTTTAGATGTGTTCACTTTATGTTCTCCAATCTTAATATTTACCATGTTATTACTCTTACGGTTACTAAAATGATATTACATATATTCCGTTTTAGCCCTACTTATTGTAAAACCTTTAGATTCTAACGCCTCTCTCCAAGCCTATAGCTTGGCATTAACCCCCTTTGTTTCATCTATTAGAACTATGGCATCCGCGAATAACATGCATTCGGGGATGGCTACTTGCAAGTGTTTAGTGATTTCATCAATTACTATAGAAAAAAGGTATGGGCTCAATGCCGACCCTTGATGCAAACCCTACAGGAGTCCTCACACAAATTGTTGCATTATCATACATGTCTTTTATTATTTCTATATATCCTACTCTCACTCCCCTCTTTTCCAACACCCGCCACATTATATCGCTATTAACTCTATCATATGCCTTTTGAAGGTCAATGAAAACTGTGTGTAAATCTAGTTTTCTCACATTAAAATGCTCACATAATCTTCTAAATAAATGTATAGCTTCCATTGTTGATCTTCCGGGTATAAAGCCAAATTGATTTTCCATTATGTTTGTCTCTTGCCTTAGCCTAGTTTTTATTACCCTTTCCACAATTTCATTGTGTGACACATTAGTTTTATACCCCTATAATTAGCACAATTTTGTATATCTCCTTTATTATTAAACAAGGGTATTAGTGTACTCTTCCTCCATTGATTAGGCATTTTCTTACTCTTCATGCTTATGTTGAATAACTCCGTAAGCCACTTAATCCCAAATTCGCCAAGGCGTCTCCATGTCTGTATTGGGATATCATCGGGACCTACGGCTTTACCCTTTTTTATTTTGTACAAAGCTTTCTCAACCTCTTTAATTTGGATTTTCCTATAATATGTGAAATTTTTATGTGTCTCACTTAGCTCTAGTTCACCTTGTGTTGTTTCCCAATTATCTGCTTCATTCAATAGTTTATAGAAATAATCTTTCCACCTATCCTTGATGATCTTATCATCAACTAAGACATGCCCATGTTCATCTTTTATGCATTTAATCTCGGTTAAATCTTTTGTTTTCTTTTCCCTTATTTTTGCAATTTTATAAATGTCTTTTTCTCCCTCCTTAGTATCTAGTTTTTGGCAAAAGTTTTCAAAAGCCTTTGTCTTTGCCTCACTTACTACTTTTTTCACTTTTTTTTTTTAGCATTTTTATATTTTTCAACATTCTCATCATTCCTACAAGTATACAATGCTTTATAGCACGTTTTTTTCTATTTTACATTTTCTTGAATATCTTGATTCCACCACCATGATTCTTTATTGCATTTATTCCCTTTTGAGATTCCTAGTTCTTTTTTAGCGATTGCTCTTACTTCTTTAGTTACCTTTTCCCAAGTTTTATTGGCTTCTTTTTCCATGTTCCAATTAACTTTTTCAAGTAACGTTTTAATAAACCTATCTTTTTTATCTTTGTTATTAAGATTCCACCATTTTATCCTAGGTATTTTAGGTATTTTTCTCTTACATATATTGGTTTTAATTCTTAGATCTATGACCAACAACCTATGTTGAGTTGTTAGACACTCTCCCGGTATCACCTTACAATCTTTACAAAGTTTTTTATCACTCTTTTTAGTTAAAAGGTAATCAATTTGTTATTTGTTAAAAGCCACTTTTATATGTAATCAAGTGTTCATCCCATTTTTTAAATAAGGTGTTACATATGACAAAGTCATATGCCAACGAAAGATCCAATATAGTTTTACCTTCATTATTTTGTACCCCAAAACCATAACCCCCATGAACTCTCTCATATTCTTCATTTTCCTTTCCTACATGTCCATTTAAATCCCCACCTTTAAAGATTTTTTCATTTTGAGGGATTGATTGGATCAATGACTCCAAATCTTCCCAAAATTTTGTTTTAGTAGCTTCATCTAATCCCACTTGAGGCGCATACGTACTAATCATATTTATGGCCTCATGTCCTATTATAATTTTTAAGGTTATTAATCTATCCCCCTTCCTAACCACCCCTACTACTTGGTCTATGAATAATGAATCCACTATAACACCTACCCCATTCCTATTCCTATCTTTCCCACTATACCAAAGTTTGTACCCCGTGTTATCTAAAACTTTGGCCTTTTAACCTACCCATTTGGTTTCTTGCAAACACATTATATTGACCCTCCTTCTCATACATTCTACTAGCTCTAGAGATTTACTTGTTAAGGACCCTATGTTCCAACTCCCTAACCTACAAGTCTTATCATTTCTAGGATTATTCTTAGGTTGTTTTCTACATTGGGTATTTTTCCTAGTTCCCACTACTCCCACACCTTTATGAGAGTGTAGTGGTCCTTGCCAAGAAGTAAAAGATTTAACTTGTAATGCTTTCTTGCCGTACGGGGCCTCTTGCACATTTTGCACTACACCCAAGTTATGGAGATGTAGCGGTCCTTGCCAAGACGACGCAGTCGGACCCTGCAGCACGCCACGTACAACGGGTGGCGTCCTAACATTTAAACGATTTCTTATATGATCCATATTCATGAGAATGGCAGTGTTTATTAATGTTGGCTGCCAACCTAACGCAAATCCTCCTCCTTTACACTGGCTTGGGACAATCAACGATAAACTCTAGACAACTAACGAACCCTAGAGTTTACCGCAGGCGGAGTTAAATTTGAAAATAATTATATTAGGAAAAAATTAATAAATTTAAAAATATATTAAATCAATAAAAACGTCAAAAACTTAAATTTTAAAACTAAAATTGAAAAAAAAATAAAAACAAAAGAACTTTTTTTGCACAAATTTTATATTACTTTTAATTTAATAGGCTTGGGATAAAGTAAAAATACTATGTTTATTGCAATCACTAACATAAAAAATAATTTATTTAAAATTTAAGATTATCTTCAAATCTAATTTCTTATTTTAAATATTTTTTAAAATATATGAAATCTTAGGAAACAAGATTTACATAGTAGATTACTCAAAAAAAAAACATTATCTTCAGTTTCTTATTTCTTTTTACTTGTCATACTGACGAATCAAAAAAAACTACTATTTAGTATATATTATTAATGTATCAAAGTGCTATTATACAATGGTATCAAAGTGCTATTATACAATGGTAAACACTTTTAGAGATTAGTTTTTAAAAAGAACATAGTTAAGAAGATGATTATCTTTTAGGGATCTATTATGTAAATCTAGTCCCCTAAAATTTTATAAGTTAAAGAATATCCAAAATAAAAATTGGATTTGAGGATAATCTTTTTTTGGGGGTAAAATGTAAATATATTGATCATATTAAAGAAAGAAGATATTTACAACCAGAAAAATCCTTAGTCTGCCTTCTTTAATTTCCTACGCTAGCTATCTCTATACATGAAATAAATCAGCCAAAATTCTTGCTTGACTATCTGAGATTTTCTTCCCAAGACAGTGACTAACCCTCCATTGCACCTCCATTTTGATACAATTGAGAACCATTTGTGTTCCTCTGGTTTTAGCAATGGAGATTCTATGGTTGCGTTCTTCCCATTTGTGGTAGATCAATGCAGCAATTGTAGCGAACAATCTTCCTTTTCAACTTTGAATTCCTCAATGTCAACATTATCATAGTTCTTCATAGTCTTTGGGTACTTGACAGTCCATGTATCCCCAGCCAATCTATTATTTCACCCAGTAGTGCAGTGGAATAGTGGCATTCAAAAAACAGGTGTTCAAAGGTTTCCAAAGTATTCTGATAGAAAATAGAATCTTGGTCACCTCTGAGGACTTGCATCATCATCAACCTATCCTTCGTTAACAATCTATTCTTCCAAAACATCCAAACAATGAAAGAATGCTTTGGTACATTGTAATTTGACCAAATGAATAAAGTAGTTGTTAACTTTTCATTCTCACCAATTATCCAGTTATAACCAGATGAAACAATGTACGTACATTGAAGAATGTTTCCATTTCGAGCCTGTGAACTCATTCTTGACCTTTTCCTTGATTAAGCTTTTTCCAATACCAACTCACATCCTGTTTAGCCTGGACATGCCATACAT